GAAACTTGGTTCCGAGGCGACTGCCGGCAGTTTTATAATTAACTGTGATGCGAGTACGATACAGGTGGAGGCCGAATTGGCCGGGCGAACCGCGTAGAAAATCCGCGTTAAACTTCGAAGCTTGGTGGCTGGTCGGCAGACCAACGGCCCGCCATCCTCATCATGCAGCGCCACGTGAAGGGACGAGATGTCTGACTGTGCAATATTGAAGAAACGATGTGGCCAGATGTGTTTGGAATGAATCCATTGGGCGCTGACCTTTATGGCATCGAAGTCAACGAAGAAATTATCGCCGTTAATATCCTGAACGTATCCCAACCACCAAACACCGTTGTCGCGCTGCACCAGCACCGTATTACCGTAATTAATCTCGCGGGTGTTAGGCGATTGCCGTTCTCGAAAACAGCGTGGAGTTGCGTCCATGGCGAGCAGAAAATAAATGGAAAACAATAGCAGCTGTCGGTCATTCGATAACTTAACATAGACCGATTACATATACAAAATTTATTTGCATTCAGCTATGAAAATTAATGCTCGTGTTGGCTATGAAATGCTATTGACGCTGGCACCATTCACTCGCTAGCCGCCAGTTAATGGTGGTCCCGGAACGAGTCAGATGTGACCTAATTTCGACCGCTTCTAGGCTAGAGAATTAGCAGCAGATGACTCTCTGACTCAGTGTGTCTTGTTATTTTCGTTGGCCGTGTAGCGGCGGTGCCGCTTACGTATGTACGAGTGCACTTGTATGAGACGTACGGGTAGTACAGATAGCCCGGTTTAGGCTATTTAAGCGCAGCGATGGCTAATGTGATATGTCATTCTCTGGCTTTCTGAGATTTCGGTCTTGAATTAAAGAGAATCTGACTCGTAGTCGGGATTTCTGGTGTTTCTGTCTCCTACTTCTAATAGAATGTAAGGAAATAGGGACTCCTTTATCCAACTACGCTACAGCCGCAGTACCAGTTGTACCAATGAGTCATGACTGACGCCTGATACTTTTCTTGCGTGTAGTGTGTACAGCATTGTACTAAAATGTACGTACCTCTTTTACACCATATTCAGTGCACCGTAACGGCCTGTTTAACCAAAGCCTATAGAATATACAAAGCCTGGAAGCAGGCATATAACACGGTCACGTCCTCAAGCCAACTCCGCTGATTTGAAGGGAGCTCAGACCAGCCTCCTTTGATGGTTGGTGCAAATTAATTCGTAAGTAATTCCTCGTACAAGATAGAGGGATGTGCTTGCAGTACCAGGTGTACAAAACAATGTGGCGAAACGGATGTAGCTTTTGAAAAAAATTATAACTAAACCAGGAAAGTAATACAGGATGTTTTGGCAAACGCCCTATTCATCCCGTTCATCGCGCGATATTGTCTTTCTGAATTCAGGTCATGTTTTCTGAATTCAGGTCGTTCACATTTAGATGAATGGATATTCGCTACGAAAATTCTGTAAAATTCATGGTTTGAAAAAGCATATACAAAGCTTTTCCATACACTGATCAAGTTGATCAGTGTATAGAAAACTGGATAACGTTAACTTTCAGGTGGCCACCGTGCAACACACCTGCACATTTTGGACGGCTGAATTAATACGATTTTTTAAACGACTTTTTCAGCCGTTTCTCGGTAGACTCGTATGCTAAATCAGCGGAGCTCCGCTTTGCTGATAAGATCAGCTTCAAGGCTTTGTATATTCCACTGGCTTTGGTTTAACTCGCCGTTGCGTAACAACAAACCGCTTTCCGTAAGATTACGAAGTCTAATATATATCTGCTTTACCGCAATAGCCTTCACTTTTAGTCTTAGTTGAAATTTATTAAGCCTTCGTACTAGCACAGACTAATATAAGTCTTGCAAGTAAAATTATCGTATGTACTTCGACCAAGTAATACAACAAAATGACGGGAGGAAACTTCAGATCTGACAGGGACATTCAGATCTTAACCAGTCTGCAATATCAACATGTCTGAAACATTACGCTACTTTCGGGAGTTACGTTCGAGTACGCGGCAGTTGAACTACGGGAACACGGTGCTGGTGCAGCGCGACAACGACCAATGGTGGCTAGGATACGTGCAGGATATTGACGGCGCCTATTTCTTCATTGACTTCGATGCCAGCACAGTTCGCCCACAATGGATCCATTCTACACATGTGTGGCCGCATCACGTGAGGTATACCAGTGGTCTGGCTGGCAAAACCGTGCAGGTGGCGCTGCAAGAAGAAGCCGATGGACCCTGCATTTTCCGGCCCGCTACTGTCATCGAGAATCCATACTCCATCTACTGCATTTTCTGCACTGTAATGCTGCATCAGGCAGACCAGAACACTGCGTCTGAACGCCGTGTCATCCCCTGGTTCCAGCTAACCACCAAACTGCCGGCGCCCAATGGTGAACCGAGCTTTTTTGGCCGAGTCAACGGAATCGTATACCGGAAGCATGTCGTACCTTTCGAGACGGCGCATCTCTTGCGCCATGTCAAGTTTATGCGTCAGTTTCTGGTCCCGGCTTGTCAAATAAAGCTGAGAGACGGTGATCCGTGCACCAGCACATGCCGGCTGGAAAGGAGCGATGCAGCGTTTAAGTTTAATTTTCGCTGTGTGGGAACGAATTATGGTCATGGGCGGGCACATGGTGAGTATGATTTCAATGTTGGTTGCCGGGTGTTTGTGCTAGCGGGAATCGACACGGTCACGTTCATCTGTGCCGAAGTGCATGAAGACGCGACGGGACGCAGCATGTTCTGGGACGAAGATACTTTAAGAGAAGTGTGCCAAAGATACCTCGCCGAGCAGTTGTCAAGGGAATCCGCGCTAACGAACAATATTATGGCGGCTAGCTTGCCAAGGGTTCGTGTAGAACGTAATGGTGAGTTGTACATGCGGAATAGAGCAAAACGCTCACTCTCCTGTTGGTTGTCAAAGTGAACGACCAAAAAGTACAGTGAACCTTTCGTTTAATCCTTACGTATTGTAAAAACACCATTTTAATGCTTCCCTGTTCGCACTCGTGGATATTTACCGCTAATCCGGTGCACTGATATTTTCCATTTGTATTTCAAATCAGTAAAGTGTGCACAGGTTTATTAATCGGCAAACTTTTATTTTGTTTTAGTCCTACACAATTGTAGTATAAAAGTTAATGGTCAAAAGTTTCGATCAGCCCCCATGTGCAAGAGTTGCTGCAGTGTGGAGATAACCCTTATTAAATTTTTTGCAGAAAGGGAAGAAATGCGCATTTGCGAGATTGCGGCTCCAGTCCCTGCCGGTATTTTTTTAACCTCGACGTCGTATCACAGTTACGCATAAGCCAGTAAGTCAGTATCATAAAGTTTGCAAACTTTATTTAAAATACTCACATCAGCGAATACCACTCAGTAAATACAATCAAATAAAGGATTGGTCCCAGTTAACATGAGAAGGAACTGTGCACAAGACACTCACAACCTTACCACGCAGAATTTATCCAAACTCCAAACTTATACGAGATCTCCAAACTTAAACGATCTCCAAACTTGAACGTTGAAACAAAAAACAAGTTGAACGACTCTCGCCCATTCTAGGAAACAGTTTTTTGTCGATTTGCTTTTAACAAAACATTTGCAGCCGCACACCAAGTGCCACATCTGCAATGGGGACAAAATAAAAATTATGTTTTTATGTAGCAGTAAATACGAATCGGTTCATCCTCAGCATAAAAGTTTAATTCTCAAAAACCAGTTTTCTTCCGATTTTTGTTTTTTTCCTTTATTTTATGGTAAAATTTGCGCGTTATACGCATATGCATTACGACGAGCTGCAAACGCTCGAGCAGTAAACTGCTTTCTTAACTAAAGCAGTCAAATTAATTTTCTTTCCTAATTAATTATTGTTTTCAGTATCGCCGAGCTATCAATTGCAGGGTGTGCGCGTTGTGGATGCTGATTTTGCGAGACTCCCTCCAGCACCACCACGTGACTTTCGCTATCCCTTCCCTCTGTACCACGGAGGACTGGGATGGCTCGATATTCTATGCTTTGGACAATATTGTTGAATGCAAACTAGCCAAAATGCTGGATCAAACCGTTTCCGATGAGACACGCTCGGTGGCGTTGGTGGACGAGCGAACGCGGGCCGACCGCCGGTACAACGCATCGGGGTCGAGCTTCACGTGGAAAATGCTGCTGATGCGCCGTATCCTACAGCATAAACTCGTTCGTCTGCCGCTGTTCATTGTTAAGTATGGCCACCAGACCACCTCCTCGCGCGACAGTCCCTTCACGCAATTCCAACGGAATAATGACACTGGAGAGCTGGAGTGCCCAAGGCCGTCGGATTGGATGCCCATGTTTGAGAACCTAGTGCTGCTCAATTACAACACAACCGATGGTTTGAACACCGGGCGTCTGTTGCTGCTGCTGTTCGACGAGGCGAAACTGGCATGGCCGGACAGTGAGACGGCGTTTATGCGGAAGAAGCATGACTGGAATCTGATAAGGTGGTTGTACGGTTTGTGCGCTTCTACTGCACGGATTCTGCCGTCCAACACTGTCAGCGCTTCATAGACGCGGTCAGTGACAGTTGCCCGGTCGTTACGCAGCGGGTATGGGAAAAGGTCACGGCGCTGCGTGCGCGCTGGGTCGGGACGTTGGACTATCCCGAGCAGTGGGCGGGGATTCGTATGTTGTTGCAGACGTAAGTTATCGTAGCAGTAGGCGCTTTATGGTTTAATTCAAGGCCGGTTTAGTAAGAAGCCGATATAAGTTAACACGATGCTGGTGCGACGGGACAACGGCCAGTGGTGGCTGGGATACGTTCAGGATATTGACGGCGACCAGTTCCTCCTTGATTTTGACGCCAGTTCAGTCAATGCGGAATGGATCCCTACAAAACAACTGTGGCCGCATCATTTTATCGGAGACCTTTATTGTCATGTATTAAGTAATACACTTTAATAATTAATATGACTTGTACAGTACGCCAGCTCGCCAGAATCATTCTGATTGTAAACATTGCAATTGTAACACAACTTCATAATCTGTCTGCTTAGCAACAATACACCACATCTCCTCTCTCCGTTACAAAAAACTTTTTTCGCTACATTTTTCCCTTTTCATATCCATATCGATCGGGAACCTTCGTCACTCTTGTAGACTGGCGTAATGCTGGCTGTTCCGCATTTGTCGCTTGTGGTAGCGGTTGCGGATTCGTTATCGCTTCCGGTACAGCTGGAATCTCAGGTTCTGGCTTCACAGTTACTGCTGCTGGTACTTCTGGTTCAGCAGTTTTCATACTCGCGCTCGATGTCGTTTCTGCCAGTTGTTTTGGGATTTCTGGCAGTGCGGTTACATCATTTGGCTCTTCGTTGTCGCTTCTCCAGTGTCTGAGTTTGATCTGGTCTTCATGCCTGACCCACTGATCACCATCAACTGTGACTATCCACTGACGTTGACCTTTCCTGCTGATTAGTTTCCCAGCTGTCCAGTTTGTTTTCGGCCCATGGCGGTAATCGCGAACGATGACCTTCTGACCAGGGCTAAACTCCTTCGCCTTCGTGTGCTGATCGAACTGCTCTTTATAACGAGCCTGGTTTGCGACTCGCTTCTCATTCACATCTGGATGAATGCGATCCAGTGCTGTTCGCAGCCGTCGGTTGAGAAACAGTTCATCCGGTGGACTTCCGGTTGTTGACTGCGGTGTCGTACGGTAGCGAAGCAGGTACTGCCGTATGGCTTCGTCGAGATCGGTTTTCCCGGCAGCCAACATCTTTGTCATGGCGTCTTTGAACGAACCGACATACCGCTCCGCCTGCCCGTTTGACTGCGGATGTCCTGGAGCCGTGCGCAGGTGCTTGATTCCGTTACGTTGACAGTAATCACTGAATTCCGCCGAGGTAAACTGCGGCCCATTGTCCGTTACCAACTGTCTGGGATACCCATAGCGCACGCACAGGTTTTCCATTACGGCAATGACATCCGCTGACTGGGTGCGCCTCATTCTGATCACCTCTGGCCATTTGGAGAAACTGTCCACGATGATCAGGAACATTTCGTTACGAAACGGTCCCGCGAAATCCATGTGGACACGTTCCCACGCACGCTCCGCTATCGGCCATTGCTGCAGGGGGACTTTTGGTGTCTCTTTTGATGCCAGGCTGCACTGTGGACAGTTCTGAGACAGGCGTTCAATGTCGCCGTCCATTCCTGGCCACCAGAAGTGACTGCGCGCTTCCGCCTTCATCCTGACTACACCTGCATGGGTCTGATGCAGATAATTCAGTAGCTGCGTCCTGAGGGCGGTTGGAATCACTGTCCTTGCTCCCCAAACCACGCAACCACTGACCACCGACAACTGAAATCGGCGCTGGTAGTATGGCTGGATATCTGCTGGAGCCTTATCTGGCCATCCGGACAGTACCAGATGTCTGCAGCGCGCAAGAAGCGGATCTTTACCGGTCGCTGACGCAATCTTCCGTGCGTCGACAGGTGTTTCGGACAACTGCTCAACGTCGATTTGGTGCACCACTTCACTCATTCCCCAATCGTTGACATCGAACATGTCTTTGGAGTGCAGCGGCAACCTACTGAGTCCATCAGCTTGCCCGAAGTCCGCTGTTGACCGGTATTCAATCCGGAAGCTGTATCCCATCAGTGCCACTGCCCATCGCTGCAGTCTGTTTGCTGACACGATCGGGATTCCGGCTTTACTTCCGAATATCGTGACCAGTGGCTTATGGTCGGTGAGTAATACGAACTCGCGTCCGGCCAGATACTGGTCAAATTTCTTCACTCCGAAGACCAGAGCCAGCGCCTCTTTTTCAATCTGGGCGTACCGCTGCTCCGTTTCGGTCAGTGTTTTCGACGCATGCGCAATGGGGCGGTCTTCACCCTCCGGGCCGCGGTGGCTGATCACTGCGCCAATGCCATACTGTGATGCATCAGCTGCTAGTATCAGTGGCTTTGCTGGATCGTAGTGGACCAGCATCGTTGCCTCCGCCAGCTCTTTCTTCAGGCCTTGGAAGGCAGATTCACACTCCCGTGACCACGCCCAATCGACATCCGCTTTCAGCAACGAATTCATACAGTAAGTTTTCGTTGCTAGCTGAGCGATGAATCGGCTGTAGTGGTTGATCATTCCTAAGAATGACCGGAGCTGCTGAACGTCTTCCGGTGCCGGCATATCCAGTATGGCCTGTACCTTGCTGACGGATACGTGGCGCCCGTGCTTATCCACCACGAATCCGAGATACTCCACTGAGGCTTGGAGAAAGTGACACTTCTCTGCCTTCAGTGTGAATCCTTGTTCCCTCATGCGCGTTAGTGTTTGCGTCACATTTCCGAGATGCTCCTTCCGGTTCCGTCCCGTGACGATGACATCATCTTGGAATATCGCCAGGTAATCGATACCACTAAGCATACTTTCCATCAGTTGCTGGAATATGCTGGTGCTGCCGCCACACCGAATGGCAGTCGTGTGTAGCGGAATAGACCACGGTGCGTATTGATCACCACCAACCAGCTGCTTTCCTCATCCAGCGGAACTTGATGGTACGCATCAGACATGTCTATTGTCGTAAATTCTTCGCCTCCGTTCAGTACTGCAAACAGTTCATCGGGCAGAGGCAGCGGATATCTCTGTATATCCAGCGCGTCGTTTAGCCCTGTGCTCAAGTCGGCACATGTTCGCACTTTCCGTTTCACTCTACGGACTATCACAATTGGTGCGGCCCACTTTGCCCGATCGACCTTGACCAACACTCCCAGTCGTACCAAACGCTCCAAGTCTTCTTCCACTGGTTGTCTGAGCGCGAACGGCACTGGGCGTGGTTTGCAGAACTTCGGTATGGCGCCTGGCTTCAGGTATAGATGCGCTTGAAATGTCCGGCAGCATCCTAGCTCGTCCCGGAACAGTTCCTTGTTCTGCGCGAGGATACTTTCCAGCGTGTCCGGTTCCGCCACCGTGTGAACGGCTGACGTTGACAATTCGCTGAACTTCAGGTCGCCCATGTTTAGCGCGCGGATCCAGTCTCTTCCCAAGATCCCGCCGCCCTTATCAGCCACTATCATCTCAAGGTCACTGGCTGTGCTGTTCCGGTGCTCTGCGTTCACCTTGCACACGCCTAGTACTCGTATTGTGTGGCCAGTGAAACTGCGCAGCAATCCTTTGTATGGGGACAGTTTAGGTGATCCCACTGATTGCCACATTTGCCTTGATGCAATGGTCTTCCCGGATCCGGTGTCCAGTTCAAAAGTTACTGACCGTCCGTTGACCTTGATGCACATCTGCATCGGGTTTCCGTCTGGCGAGCTAGTGTGCAGAATGTCGTACACGGCTCCTGTCCGGCTGCTCCCGCTACCGCGTTGCCCTCCTTGATATCCGCTTGCCTGTTTGGACTTGCAGACCCGCGCAATATGGCCGGCCTTGCCACAATTGCGACAGTTCTGGTCCTTGAACCGACATTGCTCTTGGTCGTGGTTCGTGTTTCCACACCGATAGCACGCTTTGCCGCCACCGCTGTTTGGAGCTCGCTTGGCTTTGGCACCACCATTTGGCTTGAAGCTTCGACGGGATGAGGTCGCCTTCACGATGTCTTCTTGGAGGTTGTTGTTGACCTTGGCCTCTTCCTGGCCAGTCTCAAACCGTTTTGCGATCTGCAGTGTCTCGTCGAAGGACTTAAGCTCTTGCGACATGAGATGGCGCCTCGTGGTATCGCTGTACACTCCAGCCACAAACACTGAGCTGAGTAAATCCTCCAACAACGTCCCAGGAAACTTACATGTGTAAGTTTTATCCCGTAGTTCGTTAGAGAAAGCCACTAGCGATTGGCTGGATTTCTGTCGAGTAGAGAAAAACGAGGCCCATTCAGTCGTTTGGTAGGTGACCTTTATGTACGTATCGTCCAGCTTCTTGATAAGCTCATCGTACGACAGCTCCGTAGGCTCCTTTGGTCGACAGGCGCTGACAAGGTCTTGGAAGGCTCGGACTTCCAGACTGTTCAGCAGCACTTCTTTCTGTTTCGTGGCGGCTATTTCCGCAAGGGCAAAATAGTTCTTTAACAACGACTTCCATGATGTCCATGGTAGCTGGTCCGGGTTAAACCGTATCAGATTCTGCGCTTTCTTTTCAGTAGACATGGTTTGTGGAATACGACTATCCTTTCACGCCAGATGTCATGTATTAAGTAATACACTTTAATAATTAATATGACTTGTACAGTACGCCAGCTCGCCAGAATCATTCTGATTGTAAACATTGCAATTGTAACACAACTTCATAATCTGTCTGCTTAGCAACAATACACCACATTTATGAACTCTCACTGCCTGGATTTTCCGCGCATTTGGCACTGCGAAACGAAGAGGGCGGACCGCTGATCTTCCGGCCCGCCACTATTATCGAGGATTTGTCCTGCATGTTCTGTGCTGTTCGCCTGGACAATTCACCAGACCGCTGCATTGTGCCGGTGCGCCAGCTTATCGCACAACTGCCGTCGGTGGATGGTGGTGAGCCGAGCTTCTCCGGGAGGCTTATCTACCGGAAGCATGTCGTCGGCTTCGAACAGGCGCCTCTGCTGCGTCATTTGAGTTTTCTGCCAGAAAGTCTGATGTGGACGTGCCAGCTGGCGTGGGCTCCTGGTAATCGACAGTGCAATGCCAGCTGTCAATTTCATATTATATCGTATGGACCGGACGGTTTTTGCTTCCGCTGTAAGGATGAGAATTTTCAGACCGGTCTTCAGTATCAATTCAGTGTTCGGGTGTTTGTGCGAGCTGCAATGGACAGGGTGACGTTCATATGCGCCGAAATGCACGGTGACGCTTCCGGATACAGTGCGTTCTGCACTGAGGATTCTTTAAAGGCGGCGTGCCGGCGTTTCCTCTCCGAGTCAAAACAACTTCCGCTGACTGTTGCAGTGAAGGCTGCGGACAACCCGATCACTGCCTCCCAGGGTCAGTACTATCGTGGCCAGAACGCCGAGAAATCTCTAAACGTTTTAAGTAAAATTACACGGTATTTTGCAGAACCGAGAGATGTTCGCATCAGCGACCTGCCGGCCGCTATTCTAGGATGTATTTTGAGGAACCTGGATGTGGGCACTCAACTTTACACAAGCCAGTACGTCATGTACTCTGAACGACTGTATTATACCACTCGTTCGCCAATCTTTTAACACAAACGTAATGTAGTGAGTGTGGCTGTATGCGCGCTGTAGTTGCTGTACCGGCGAAATTTCGTTTAACTTGAGTAGCTAACAATGGCTAAATAGAAGGCCAAAATCGCTAATCACAGATTTAGGTTGGTGCCATTTGACTAACATTTTCGTGACCTTTTTTTACAGTATTTGAAATCCTATTTGTCTCTAGGAGATCCTATTAAATTTTGCGCTAGAAAGGTTGAGCGATAACCTCTTTGTGGAAAAGAAGTTTTTTCTTATTGTGCTTTGCTGAAATTCTCTGAAAATGGTCATTTACAGAGTGTGTGTCTTATGGAGGCTAGTGCTACAGGAACCCGTCAGTCAGCATCATGTCATTGTCGTCATCCGCCCGGTGACCATAAAAGAGTCCTGGGACTACTGCATAAGTACAGAACTGAACGCCACTGAGGAATATAAATTTGCAGCTATGTCAGAACGTAGCGTTTCGCAACAGACGCGGGCGGCGGTGTTGATCTATGCGAGAACGTCTGGAGAGCAGAAAGAGGAGTCTCGTGATGGTGATTATCTGGGCTTGGTGCTTAGAATGCAGGATATCGCCAGTATATTGGAAAGGAAGTGCATTCATCTGCCCCTACTTATCGTCAAAAACTGCAGAGCGATCCAGAATTCTGGTGGTATTCCGTTCTTAAAGTATGGTGCAGGGGAGCAGGTTGGCAACCAAGAATACCAGGCGCCGTCATCGTGGATGACCGGGTGCACCACGGTATTGCTGATTAACTACACCATAGCCAGTGGAGGGGGATCCCATTCCCTGTTGCGGCTGTCCTGCGGTACCAGGCTGCAATGGTCGATGTGGCCCGAGATGCGGTTTACGCGCAACACCGTAGAAAAACAACTGGACGTGGTTATTCCGTTCGTGCGCTTCCACTGCACGGAGACCGCCGTCGAGCAGTGTCAACGCTTCATAGCCGCGGTTAATGACAACTGTCCGGCCGTTACGCAGCGGGTGCTGGAAAAGGTCAATGTGGTGCGCGCGCGCTGGGTGCAGATGTTGGCCTATCCGGAACAGTGGGCGGAGATTCGCGGCTTCTTTAAGTTGTAAGTATGGTCTCATTGTACGTCGAAACATGTTGTTGTCTTAATGCGAATGTGGCTGGGTTGAGCAGGTTCAACTGCGTCCGCGCCGAAGACAATCCACAATTCTGGGATCAAGTCGACTTGCGGCAGATGGATGTGTCACGACTAAACGCGCTGACGTTGGCTGCACTGGACGGTTATTACAAAGACTGATACAGTCTTGTAATGCGCTAAATACTCGTACACCATCATATTTTACAGTTTACACTATTTAATTAACAGTTTTTTAATTTAATTTATTTAACAGTTTTTTAATTCTTGATTGTGCAGTATTGGCCGTAGTGGATTGATTGACTGTTATGTCGCTGAGTGAACATAAATAAAAAGAATAAAGTTTACACTATTACTTTATTGTTAGTGCGAATTTTTATTGGTTTACTCGTACAATATCATCTGCACTATTGCTTTATTGGTAGTTCGAATTTTTATTGGTTTGTTTATCGGCTACAGTTTCAAACATCCAAACCAGTTAGCTTGGTTGTCTGGTTGTGCTGTTTTGCTGTTTCTTGCATGCTGTCGTTCGTTGGATGAAGGAGTAAATAATCAGTGTTATGAAGACTCAAGCGGCTGCGGCTAATTTTGTTGTTCACGATGAAGCCGTGTATACGAATTTTTCATCTTGATTGGGAAGGGCAGATTCTCATTATGTTATGCGTAGTCTTAATTCACATTAAATAAACTAAACTAATCTAAGGACTGAGTGATAAAAGTTTAGTTTAGTTTAGTTTAGTTTAGTTTAGTTTAGTTTAGTTTAGTTTAGTTTAGTTTAGTTTAGTTTAGTTTAGTTTAGTTTAGTTTAGTTTAGTTTAGTTTAGTTTAGTTTAGTTTAGTTTTAGTTTATAAGGTCACGTGGCGTTAGCAGGCTTCTAGCTTTGCTAGCAATTGTGGTGATCGTAAGGTATAAAAATGGCAACTACAGTAATGAGTTACTAATAGCTTAGTATATCGTTATTAATTTTGCAAATACAGATACCGAAATGTGGACCTGTAATAGTTAAGCAGATGGATTTCATTATAAATTCTGGCAAGCCTGGTGTTAGAGGCACGACAGCCTGCGTGATAGATACGCCACTTTGCGTATGCGTATCACTGCACACATGCTGATTCGCCCTCTCTTGTACGTACGTGAGTGGCTGCACTGCACTCTCCGCCTATGCGGATACACCGCGGGCGCACTCACTGAGCATACTTGCTCTCTCGCTCCTCTCTCTCGCTGTATGACTCAGCGTATATTCGCTCGCGTTGGATACGAGTCCAGTCTGCGCACTCACATTCCATGTGTCTGGACAGCGTGACGCCGTTGCCGCCAGCACATTTTCTTTCTCTACATTTCATGACGCTCTAGAACTAGCTCGCAGCAACTTGACTGCTCACTTTTCTGCCAGACATTGGCCTTTGTTGTGTTTTTCCCCGCATTCACGCGGCATTTGCTCCACTTTATTTGTACAATAAAGTCACCTGTGAGCTCTCTGTGCTTGCCTGTCACATGGTAAGCAGATCGTCTGGTTTTTCGTTCTACCGGATCCTTTGAGGAGACGGTAAAGGCATAATTTCGCGGAGAACCCTGAAGAACCCGTGGTTGAAAGTCAGATTGACTGCGAACGCAGCCTCTGCTTCAACCTGGTCTTTGCTGTCTAGCGACTGTGGTAGCAACAGGTTGATCGCAAAGCGATCCCTGCCACCTTCGCTTGCCCTATCTTTGGCTCTTCCACACAAGGAGAGCACTGAGCTGCCTGCCCCAGACGGACGAAGGGAACTTCCCCAATCCCAACTGACGGATCAGGCTCGGACAGTAGCCTGCAGCGCCCAGAAGGAGCCTCTCAACAATCGGGGACCTTCGCCTTGAACGGCGACCCGCAACTCTAACGGAAATCGACCTCCCAACGGCGGATCACCGACCTCCACGGACTCTACAGTAACATACGGTAAAGTCCCGGTTACAGGTCGACACAGGTCGATTCTAGCTATAACTTTTAATTTCTAACGGCTGAAATTTATTTCTAAGAACTAGAAATAATTTTCTACGGTAAAAGTTAATTTTTGTCGGAGAAACCGACCTACAAAAATTACTTTACCGACCTAACTGACCACCCTGTGTGAGCAGAGGTCGGTCATCTCCCTTACTTTCCTGATTTGACGGACTTTCCACCGTCAGAAAATTTCTAAAGAACCTAGAAATTATTTCTAACGGTTAAAAATTAAAATTTCGACCAGAAAACATCTCTGATCGACCTAAAATATTCTTGTTTTCCGCGAAAATAAGCGCGAAAATTCTTGAATTTCCTTGTGACGTCAGAACGCTCGATTTTCAGTACTTTGAGGCTAGCCAATCAGCGTGCAGGGGAAACTTCCATGCTTAAAACATAGGCGTGAATCATCGTTTTTAAATTTTGCACGCGGCTCGCATTCTGTGACGTAGGCAGTGAAGTGCAAGACCACTTAGCCCTGTGACGTCACGATTAGCTGGTCACAGTAGTATGGACGTACTACTGTAGTACCTTATCATACTGTAGTACTGTATCGTAACGTTGTGTACTGAGTCACAGACACATCAACACAACAACAACAACAACAAGTCGGACCATCCTGACCCTCGGAAGTTCCTGAACCCAAAGACGTTCCTGATTTCATTGAACATCCCCACATAAGGGATTGTTCAATTTACTGTACAACAGTACAAGTTTCTCGTTGGTTCCACTTGAACCGACCTGACCCGACAACGATGTCGAACCCGAAGGAAAACGAATACGCCCGAAAGTTCAACACGGACTATTCGCGGCGCCTGACCTCCAACGCGCCGTATGCACTACGGCACTCTGGCCAGGATAAAAGTCAGCCGTCATCAACGGACTCAACGAAGTCGGCTGAGGCACGGGAGAAGCGCAACGAGCGGATCCTCCTCGCCGATTCCAATCCAACGTCCGATGACAGCTTCGAGGACGCCCACGACAAGACGTTCCTCGAGCTGAGCTGGCTTAGCCCCGTCCCACCCGACCGGGGAATTGGAGAAGCTGCAGGCTGAGACCATTGTCTCATGCCGAGGCGGAACACCCACATGGTGTACCGACCTCTACGGACTCAATAGAAGACTTCAACTGAGCCCACAGAAAGCAGAGGTCGGTAACGACTACGAAAGTCACCGACGCCGGATACAAATCACCCAACCAGACGGACGACGTGAAGAGGTCGACATCGCCCAACTCGGGTAGAGCGACTTCACCGACCTCGAAGGTCGGAGAGAAGCAACCGATAAAAATCGGTCAAGTCCAACCGACCACAGAAGTCGGTAGGGCTTTACCAACCTCTAAGGACGGTCAGCAGAGCCGACCTCGGAGGTCGGTTATCCTCAACCGGAGGTCGGACCTCATCTGACAACACAAGTCGGAATTGAGGTTAGAAGACTACAGCAATCACCAACCAAGGAAGTTGGCCAAGTCCAACCGACAACAGAAGTCGGGAGGATTTCGCCAACCAAGAAGGATGGAAGTCCACCGACCAAGGAGGTTGGTCAACAGAAGCCACCTACTGAGGTCGGACCTCACCCGACAACACAAGTCGGAACTGAGGTCGGACTACTTCCACCGACCAAGGAGGTTGGTCAACAGAAGCCACCTACTGAGGTCGGACCTCGTCCGACAACACAAGTCGGAACCGAGGTCGAACAACTCCCACCAACTTCAAGGATCGGACAACAGCAGGTCGGTAAAGTCCAACCGACCTCCCTGGAACGGAAGCCAGCGGATAGCAGGTCGGATATGGACATCCAGTGGCCTAAACTACCGGCCAAAACGGGAGAAACCGAGGCCCCGCCACGAAGTGGACCTCACCCGGCTGGATCACCGACCAATATACCGATGCCTAACGAGAAGGCTATCTCACCGCTAAGTCGACCTTCGCCAACAGAAGGCAGGTCGACCCGAGCAACAGAAACTCAACCGAAGGTGAAGTCGCCAACAAGTCGACCTGTCGACCTAAAGAAGAGGTCGCCACTCATGTTCGAACGACTCGGGTAGTGGAACACCACCCATGGACGACGTATTTGACACGACACAAGTGTCGTCCCAGCATGGGATGGATTCTTCCGAACGCCAGTGGCACCCTACTTGGGTAACCACAGGTACCAAGCAAGCACGCTTGAGTACGGCACGGAAGTGGATTGCATCCACCCCAGAAAAGATCGAAGACATCGATCGACTCGGAAACGATGCCAGGATTTGATAACACAAATCGTCCTGGCCGACAAATCGTTAACTCCACGGAAAATCAGATGTCGCGATCGGAGGACACCCATAAGCTCGAACGGAA